TGTCTTAATGCAGCTCCTGCCCCCCCCCCTTTTTTTTTTTTTGCTATCAATGTGTTTACATGGGTAAAATTGATATAACTCCTCTTGCTGGCTTAAAAGGAGATTACTGCCTTGGTTAACTTAGGTCTATCTTAGGAGGGCTTCTTTTGCATGTAGGGGTCCTAGAAATCTACTTTCAAAGAGTACTTAGGATTCTGCAGAATTTAATAATACTTTTGCAGGAATGATTTATATTCATCCTGGGCAAATGGAGTTTTCAAGTATAGTATAAAGGTCATGTAATAAATGACTGAGAGATTAGGTGAATTCAGAAATATTGTAAAACCTTCCGTTTTTACCCAGTCTTTCTATTATAACAAGAATATGAATTGCAGTACTAAGACCCTAACAAGTTATGCAAGCTTAAAGAAATGTCACGAGTAACAATGAGAGTGATATTTATTCTCAATCTTTTAATACTGTTTTTTAAATCTAATTAAATATTAGGGGCACACTGATAAGGATTTTCTTGTCTGATACTGATAACCGATCATTAACCAGTCATATCAGCTGATTAACAATCCGATAAGCGACATTTAGTAATAATGCAGGGCATTTTAAATTACTGACAAACCTTTTTTTTGTTTGTTTTACATTTATAACACCCACATGGATAGATTTTTTTGTGTTCCTGCTTCTAGAAACATTTTGTAGCAAACCAACATAAACTAACTTTAAAGCGTTGACTTTTAGAACTGTAGTTTGCAGTATAAACTTTATACACTACATAATGATTCACTTGACAGCAAAGTCATTATAAAACTCAATATTCAACTTGTTTTGCAAAAATTAACCCAACAAAGTGAGAAAAAACAGCATAATCATAATTTTGGTTTCAAAATAAATCTGTGAGAAATGCAGGTCAAGATGTAAAAATTACAAATGAAAAAAGTTGAAGTACAGTTTGTAGTAGTAGAAGCTATTGTAATAATAATAAATTATTTAAACTTTAGCATAGCAAGTGGGTGAGTAGAAAGTTTTTCTTGACAAAAAGCAACATTTCCACTTTTTCACACATCAGGCGGTTCCTCTTTTCATCCACAACATGTGAAGATGTGCTGATCAGCTGTTGGCTCTCAACACTGCTGCAGGGGGCAGAGAGAAACTTCCGTGTAGCTTCAGCCAAAATGGGGAAATTGGCCTTTGCTGCTCTCCCAGTATTTCAGTTTTTCAGCACTTATTGGAAGCATGGGCTCACTCAAATAGCTTTGTTTCTGAACTGTTACACTGCTGTTTAACCCTGTTTCTACCCCAGAGGTACTGTCATTCAATATCTCATCATACATTTAACACAGGGAGCTCAGTTTTGTAGTGTTGTCACCAGCTTCATTTGATTTCGTTGTGGTGGGTTCTGTCTGTTCTGTGTCATTCCTACTGGCTTACGTTTTTTCCAGCTGTGTCGCCAACATTTCCGTAGCCAGCAGCTTTTTGCATTTCAATAAAGTACCTGTCCTTGTATCTTGGATCCAGCAGCGTTGCAGTGCTTTAGAGAGGTTCTGATTCAATTTCAGCAAAGTGTGTTTCCATGGCTTCCAGCAAAGTAACTTCCATAGTTTTAATTCCATGGTCTGAATTTGTAACTTTGCTCAAAAGCCTTTTAAGGCCACAGTGGTTGGGATGACTTCAGAAGTAGAGGCTGAGGATGAACTCAGTTCACGTCTTAGTTCTTCAAAAGATGCTAGAATTTTTATTATTGTGGGGAGCAACTTTAATTGTGGGAGCATCTTTTTTCAAAAGATGCTAGCACTTTAATTATCACTACTTTTTTCCATCAACCCCCCACTGATGTACAGTGAGAGTTGCAGGGATTTAATAGTCAGCTGCGTGTGTGTGTGTGTATGCTCCAAGTGCACGTTTCTGCTTCAAAAGGCTTTGCAGTATGTAGTAAGCACTGTTATGCCTTGTCTGTACGTCCTACTGTAACCTTGTGGAAGGCATTCCAAGCTCAGTCTGCACCCTTTGAAGATGAGAATAGGCCAATGGAGAGTGTTTGAAATGCCCATTGATTTTTCATCCGATAGCCAATACATCAGACACAGTGCACTGTGATAACACTCCTTTGTTCACGATGACTTGGAGTGTGTGTGATACATAAGGTAAATTTGGCAAACCAGAGTCTTGCATCGCCATTGCTGTTTCTTGTGTTATCTTAATAACTGCGTGAACTTTTGTCTTTAGGATTTTCCATGCTGCAAACATCTTATCAAATGCCATTGAAATAGCATCAGCTGTATGGGAACTGCTGAACTCC